GCTAGTCTGCACACACACACACACACACCAACACACACACACACCAACACACGCACACACACAATGAACGAAACGTCTTCCAGCGCGTGAGTCAACATGAAGTAGCCTCTCCGCCGCGTAGAAAACTGGAACAGCATTGGACCTCAGCTTGTTGGAAGAAAAGAAGGAGGTGTCTCGTCTGCCCGCCTCTCCGTGCGTGCGTGCGTGTGTGTGTGTGCGTGCGTGCGTGTGTGTCTCAATCAACGAGGCTACTGCCACCAGAGCCAAGAGTTGCCGTTCCGCGCACCAACGCCAAGACGCGCAGGAGGAGTCAGTGCCAAAGGGTCATTTTAGCGCACCGCCGCTGAGCTGGAAGGACTGCAGGGAGCCCGCAGAGCCCGCAGCTGCTGCGTGACCCGACATACTTTAATTCCATCTTTAAGATTCAGAGAAAGAAGAGACAATAAAGCAAAACAAAACAAACCAAGAGGAGAAATTAAAGCAAAAGGTTTCGTCCGTCCCCCGGCGGAGCGCTCTTCTGTCTGCAGAGGTGGGCACTCCAGGATTCTTCCTCTTCTCATTGTTCTCGCTTCCTAAAAAAAATAAATAACAACAAAAAAAAAGAAAAAAAAAAGCTAAACAAACAAAATCAAACAAACAAAAAAAAAAACCCACTTTGGCTTCCTCTGCTCCAGGTGTTGCCTCCTCTGAAGCTGGACTCAGGAGTCCTCCATCCTCGCTGCGCCTCGGTCACCTCCTAAACGCGCGTCCAAGTTCCAGCTGTTGACAGGAGCCAAGCGATCCGAGGAGCAGAAGCAGCAGCAGGAGGAGGAGGAGGAGGAGGAGGAGGAGAACCGGTCACCTGCGACCCAGAGAGGACCGACACCACGGTCCGAGCCGACACCGCGCGCCGTTCACCGGGCGATGCCAGAGTAAATGCCGGGGCGATGTCCCGCCGCAAGCAGGTGAACCCGCAGCACTTCTCGGTGACGCACAGGGAGACGGCTCAAGGTGGGTCCACTGCTCCACATCATTTACTCAGCTCAAACGTTTTAAAGGAGAGGAAAAGATTTGGACACAATGTGAGGGTGGGAGATTTTAGAGTAAAAACAGCTTCTTTAAATGTTGCTTTCGCTTTTGGACAACTTCTGGCGCACGAGTTTCCAAATGGATCAGATGAGAAATAATTCACAGCGTGATGCTCAGGCAAGTGAGGAGGTCGAGTGTTTGCAAGTGTGTGCGTGTGAGGGGCTCTGTTTGCATTAATTTCTTTTAATTTAATTTGTATTCATTTAACTGTCCCTTCTTTTCCTCTTAAGACTCAAACTCCTGTTTTTCTCCTTCCACTCAGAAAGGCCTGTTTATTCTAACTTTGAGGGGGAAAGGTGAAATGAAAATGTAAAAGAAGTTATCTCAGACACTTCTGCTGAAAAATAATCTTTTGTTTTATTTTTAAGAAGACTCACAACTTTTTATTCATTTCTCCAAAACTTCATGGTGATTTAACAGTAATCCCATTTTGTATTAATGACACCATAGCCTTCATCTCCCAGAGTTCTTTGCTACTAAAATCCAGAGTCCCAATCTGACTCATTTATTGCACAAATTCATGATGTAATCTTCAGCTCTCCATGCCTTTATTCCACCACTTTGCGTCTGAATCCTCTCATTTCTTCAGGTTTGACTTTAAATTTGTGTCTTTTTATGTTGAATTAGAATTTAAAACCCACGTGTTCGTTTTAAACACCTATAAATGTAAATTTATTAAAGGAGAAAAACAAACTCCAACCTGAACCTGAGCCTTTTATTATAAGCTTTACATCAAACCTTTTATTATTATTATTTTATATTAATTATAATGAGTGAACTCTCTCTTCAAGTACAAGGATGTTCATTTATAAAATATTCTTTTTTATTTTGCCTTTATTTTACCAGGATAACTTAACAAAAACCTTATAAAAGGTAAATAAAGGTATAAAAAAATAAAACCTAAGTTGGTGTAGCATGCAATGTTTTAATTCTTTGTCTTTAATGTTGTAAATTTGGGATTTATTTAGCCACAGAAAACTTTCAAACACCTGTCCTCCTCTCTAAAACCTCTGCTGCTGAATAATTACATTAATAATTATAACGACAAAGCTTTGACTGCTTTTTTTTTTTTCTGTCTGAGCCGAAACGAACAGTGTCCTCAGGATTCATGTGTTCTTGCCTGCAGCTGTCAGTGGCTGCCTTCACACGTCTTTTAATCATCCCTGACCTGCCATCGGCGACTAAAGAGTCTAAGCGCTGACAAAATGTTCAGCAGGCTTTGTCTCAGATCTGAACACGGAGTGAAGGATGCTGAAACCGTGAGCAGCAGGGCCTTGAATCTCACCCTACCTGTTCGTTCACTTCGCTGCACGCTCGTTGAACTGTGGCCTCGAGCAGCGACAGTGACCTCCAACCTGAAAGATTATAAGGAAGGACTTGGGTTGCAGGGTTTGTTCCTTCTTTTCTTTAATTTAGGTCCCACTCGCTGCCAAAAGAAGACACTAAACACCGTCTTTGTCTAATTAAACCAGCCCTGCTCTCTGCCTCATGATGGATTTGTACAAGAAGGGATCACACCTGAGGTCGCATTTTTAATTGTAATTTGTAAATCCTAAAATGAGAGCGTTTGGGAAAAGAACAACCGAGGAACAAAACGTGCACTGCTGCAGCGGATAATGTTTCAGCGCCACATCATCATCGGCAGGTCACGTTAACGTTTCACCTGTCAGGAGCGAGTCACGAGGTATCTCCCTTACACAAGTCAGAGTGTGAAGTTTCTGCAGGGTGCCAACATATATCAGCGGCACGTCAGGTGGGGGGGTAAGTCCGTAACTGAAGGCAGCTCTGTGCCCTGCAGCTAAACGGGCTGATGGGTCGTGCTGTATTTGGGAGAACACGAAACCTGAACGTCAGCATATTTCTGGACAGGCTTCTCAGTGGAAGACTGGAGTGAAGGGGGGGGGGGGGGGGAGACTAACTCACCACCAGACATCTAAAGACACAAGTGCACCAAATGCACTCAGTGTGCAGAGACAGCAGACCTACACTCACTCAGCTGTTGCTGCAAAGCTGCACGAAAAGACGTGAAAATATGTTACACCTTCATCAACACTCTTTTGAAGAACACTCCTGCAGGCCTCTTCAGCCTGACCTTTGGAGTCATGACCTTTGGAGTCATGACCTTTGGAGTCATGACCTATGGAGTCATGACCTATGGAGTAAATCCTGGAAATGATTCCCACGTCATCTTCATGTTTTCAGCCTCTCTCAGCCTCCTGATGACTCTGTGCTCTCAGAGTTGTCGCGCTGCTCGTGAAAGAGTTAACGTTCTCTTCTTTATTCACGCCATATGGCCGTCAAATGATTGGGGGGGGGGGCACCCTCCGTACACACTGAAACACCATAAATTCTCACACACACACATTCACGTTGTGGTAACCGGATGATAATCTCACAAGAGACGAGCTGGTGAGCGATTTATGATTTGGTAGGGGTGGGGGGGGGGGGGGTGTCACAGCTGTTTATTTTGCTTCTTTTTTTTTTTGCTGAGCCTGTTCGACGGTTTTTGCAACGTTGTTCTTTTCATCCCCCCCCAAAAAAAAATAAAAACATAAAATAAAATCTATAAATTATTTTACCAAATTGGATTTGCATCTTAAAAAAATGTCCCGCCTCGTAAGTCGCAAGTCGTTCGCTCCGATTTAGTGAAGAGTCTCAGTCAGCAGCTGAAATTTATTTATTTAATTTTTATTTTTTTTGCTGATAATCTAAGATTTACGATAAGGAGCAGGACTGCTACAGATTAAATGGTGATAAGATAATTGAACACACAGGCCTGGGCCTTACACAACGTGCACTGTTGCAGTTCTGCTTGGCAGTGAACAGAAACAGAGGGGGGTGGGGGGGTCGGATAGGCTCAGCGAGGCCGCTTGTTGTTTGAATTTTTGATTGCAACCATCTGCAATGTTGCTGGTGTCATTTGCTTTTCGATGGCAGCGTGAACCGTAGCCGACGTTCCCAGCGGGTTCGCTCACGAGCCGGAATGTGGAGGTGCACGTGCGTTTCAGGAGAACGAGAAAAACAAAGAGGAAAAGAGACAGGTCTGAACTTAGAGCTGGGGTCTGAGAGGCCGGATGACTTCGCCAGCAGAAAACAGACAAAACATATTGTGGTTTAATCAAATTCACAACAAAAAGAAAGTTACTTCCTGGTTTTAAACTTTACTTTCACATCAACAAAACTAAAGCGTTGTCAGAACGTTCCGAATCACCCGAGCCGTTATTACCGGAGCTCCCTAAAAGAAACACAAATGTCACCTTTTACCTACTAAGCTTGTTTGTTTTTTTTTACTTTAAAAACACACATACTGTGTAAAAATGTGCTTCTCCTTGTTCCATATCCGCTTCAACAGAACAATTAGAACAAAGTCTGTGAGAGACGGATTTGAAATTCTGCAAATAATAATAATAAAAAGTTGCAAATGAAACAGTTCCCTCTAACAGCTTTGTTTCTTCATTAAGGGCTTTCTGGCCAGGCGTTTGAATAATTGGTTCTTTTTGAAACTTTTACATAAATGGAATTTTTTTTTTTTTTTGGTGAAAGAGGCCCATTGTCTTGTGCAGCGTTTCCCATCTGGTCCACATTGTGCAGCAGAGTGACTGGATCTCCCCTCGTCTGATAGGGGGTGCTCTAAGGCTTCACACAAACACTCAGAAGAGGAGCACCACTGTCATTTGGTGAATGCAGCTCCAGTCGGGCCAAAGAGTGGATGAAGTCAAACTGTATGGATTCACGTGAGACAGTTGTCCTCCACTGCCTCCTCCTGTGGATTTCACTAGTTTACTTTTCAGTCACCTCAAACAGAAGTTTAGGCAAGGAGGGGTCTGCCATGATGAATCCACTTCTGCTCCCAGTTTAGTTTGGATATAGATGGGTGAGCGGGTTTCAGAGAGAGAGAAAACGAGGGGTGCGGTCATGGGAAGAGGTCCGACCGCTCATCCACCGGTGCAGGTTCAGGTGCCAGCTCCCAGATAATTTACCGCCTTGCACCTCCGGGCCATGTGACTCAAGCATAAGTTAACAAACAGTCCTCGGTGTGTTTGTCTGTCAGCCTGTCAGCTTCAAATGCCCAGGTGTCTGTCAACCTGTGTTGTCTTTCCTCTCATGCCACCTGTCTTGTTTTCAGAGAGGGAGAGCTCCTGCACAGTTGCATGCACGACACATACCGTCTATATATGTATAAGTGTGCTTTTGTGTGTGTGTGTGTGTGTGTGAGCATCTGAATTATGGTCACAAGCTGTGAACTGTAGGTAAATATGTGTTTGTGTTCCTCCTTTGCCGCCAAAGATTATGAGATGGAAATTATTTGGCAGGCGTCCAGGAACCCATCTCCATTTAGAGAAAAAGATATTTGGCACCGGTTCATCACTCCAGGGCAAACAGAGAGAACTGGAACACGTGTGTGTGTGTGTGTGTGTGGATGGGTGAGCAGGTCTAAAGGGGGAGGAGTGCTTCATGGTTGAAAAAAGAAGCATGTGAAGAGGTAAAAGTAGGAGCAGTTTGTGAAAAAGGGACGACAAAGTTAAGCTCGGATGAGATCAAACAAAGAGCGCACGGCTCTCGGTGTAACGTTCACGTTTATTAGAGCGTCAGAGGAGACGCAGCAGAGACGGGGCTGATCTCCAGGCATCAACCCACTCCACTCAGACATCCCTCACAATCTCTGGAGCTTCGGGTTTCCTCTGGGCTCTTAGATAAAAAAAAAAACAAAAACCAGTGGGGAGGGATGTGGGTTGCATTTTCATACGGGTACATAAAGGGTGGTGTTAAAAGAAACTGGGAGTTGTCCATGAGGGATTTCTGTTAAGCCGAGGGATGGAGTGTGTGCCATAGGGGAGGAAGAGGGGAAGAATGGTTATTAATGACCGTGTCAGATGTGTGAAGAGGGAGATTTACTCTCTTAACAGGACCCCGGGTTTGACTTTATAGATATTCTGTCTGTGGAGAATACACTGTTAAAATTCACCTGAGTCCTGTTCACTTCCTAGACACACACACACACACACACACAGTCTGGTGGATGTGGCCTTGGTTACGCTGCACAGGCTGAGGCTCCCACGTGGTGAACCATCTCGCTGTGACAGCTCAGCGCAGCAAAGGCCCTCACCGGAAATCCAGCGTGCACAGCGAGATGAATCACTTCCTGGCTGCACGCACACACACGCACACACAATCAGACAGAAAACATGTAGAGTCAAATGTTTGGGCCCACCCACGCAAATCTCGTATGAATAAGCTGCAGGTGTTTGTCGAAGGCCAAGTGGTTTCAGCGACGACGTCTCAAGTCATGGAAGCGACACGCTTTGCAACAGAAGGACCACGTTGTGTAGCATCACGTTGTGTAGCATCACGTTGTGTAGCATCACGTTGTGTAGCATCACGTTGTGTAGCATCACGTAAATGTTTCAGAAATACCTAACGCTTGTGGTTTCGCCCCTCACCTGCTCATCTCTTACATTTTGCCGTCACTGACCGGCTTCTTCTTCTCCTCCTTCTCCAGCAGATGCCAATCATGACTCAGGGGCGAGATCTCCATCTCCAGAGCCGTCCAGCCCCGGCCCCCGGAGGGCGGGACCCGGAGAGCAGGACCTGCTGACCTGCGGCCAGTGTCAGACCAACTTCCCGCTCGGTGACATCCTGGTTTTCATTGAGCACAAGCGCCGCCTGTGCCGGGGGCCAGGTGGCAGACGTGGGTCCTTCTCCAAGCCCGGGGAGAGCGGCGGGGTCATGGGGGTTCCCATAACTCCGAGGGCCAGGTCGCTGGAGATGGGTAGAGGGTCCATTCCAGTGGAGGTGGGCATCCAGGTGACCCCTGGGGGAGAAGACACTGAGCAGAGGAGGCTGACACCAGCCAAGGGGATCTGCCCCAAACAGGAGAAAGGAGGTACAGATCAAGCATTATCACACACGCACACACACACACACACACACACACTGATGGAGCCCCTCACCTGGCCACGCCAAAAAGCTCCTCCTAAAGAACCTCAGCTGTTTGTTCTGTTGACTGTGGCCTTCCACCGGGATTAACGAAGCCCGACATGATTTTATTAGAGTGACTAGGCACTGTGCATCTGTTCTGCTGCATTTTAAAGAAAACATCTCTCACACACACACACACACACACACACACACACTTGAATCTCGCTCGTCAAAAACAGAAACAGACGCACACTTAGAGCTGAGGGACTTCTTCGTCTGAAACAACGGTAAAACGTGAAGAAGAAGAAAGTGACGGAGGAGCCGCTGCCTAAATGTGCTTTTCTTTGTTGTTTTGTTTGTTTGTTTGATTGATTTTAGAGGGGGGGGGGCATAGCAGTGTGGTGGAGGGTGTGTGTGTCTGAGCGTTTACAAAGAAATCCTGCGGCACATGATGAGGTTAAGGAAGCTGATTAAAATTCATCTGTGTGCACGGTGAGGAGAAGTGGATTAATAAAGCAGCAAGGCCGTTCATCCGGCTGTGAGTGGGGGGAAGAGACTGAAAGGGGGGCTAAAGTTTTTTTTTTGGGGGGGGGGGGGTCTTGTATCAAAGATGCAGAGAAACAAAATCGGAGTTATCAGAGGAGGCAGTCGCCATGACGCCCAGGAGCCAAGAGGCTGTTCAGGGTTGTTGCGAGTTAGTTACTGTTCTATCACGGTCACGTCTAAGAAGTAAAAATATTTTTGTTGTTTATTTTCTACATGAAATGCGTCATTAGTTCGGCTGAGCTGTGTCAGACTGTTCCATGATGGATGTGACTGATTCACACTTCTAATACGCACAAAAGTGCCGTTTGTGTAGACGCAATGGCAACAGTCGGTGGCTTCTTGGGTTAACAGAGTGCACAAATATGTTTGTCTTATCAGAGTAAATCAATCAATAAATGTCATTTTCCAACATTGATCCCAAGTTGATTGGACTAATCACTTTTAAGTTCAATAACTAGTTTTAGCTTCAGAACTGGAGGCCAAACGAGCTCGTGAGAAGATGCGAAGAGTCTCCATCTTTAAAATTCGAGCCCTTTATTTCGGAGCGTAAACAGGGCCTTTTGTTTCGTTGTCGCTGTTGTCGTCACTGCAGAAATCGATGCATGTGCACAGCGTGTGTGTGTGTGTGTGGCCAGCAGCTGTGTGTGGCCATCATCTGTCGGCGTGCAACGTGTCTGCAAAAGATCAGAGACAGTATGTGACAGCGAAGGTTTGGATGCTGTTGTCGATTTGGGAGACAAAAAGAAACGAAGCATTCTTTCAAGATTTCTCACACCAGAAAGTTTATTGATAATAAAATCTGGTTATATATCAATAGTAATGTGGCTTTTCAAAAACAACTGATATGATTGCGTGATAATGAGAAAATACATAGCTGTGATATTGTTAAATGTTGCAAACACATACTGGTTGCAGCAACCCGTCTATTCTCTTCACCCCTCTCCTTTTTTTTCTGTAAACCTCATAAAACTCTGTTCTTTGCCATTTTAGCCACTATCATCTAAACAGACATATGTTTAGGGTACTGGGAATTTATGAAATTGAAAAACATTGTCCCGCAGTTTGTGTCTGCAATTTATCGCAATCTCAATATTGCGATAACGATACCATTTCAATTTATCATGCAGCTATAATTTAGTCTCCTAAACTCGTCAGAGGATTCAGGCGGTAAAAGAGTGAGTCAGCCTTTTAGTCAGTGAGTCATTCAGACAGACCGTCTTATCACTACGAGAACAGGACATGAAAGCACTCGAAGCGCCAAATGAAAGAGACGAGGACAGCTTTGTTCAACACATTAGATTGCCACTCAAGTCAGTCTCAAGTTCCAACCAAATTAGATTACATTATTAGAGCTAATTAAGTCCAAAGTGTTGGAGGCGCTCGCACTCACCGGCATGCTCTTCAGCACATCACACACATACAAACTCATACATATGTTCAGAGAAAATATGTTTTCATTGCATGCAATATTTAGGACAGGGGTGTACAAACATTTTCGTAGGTGGGCCAGAGCTGTCTAGATGAACGGCCCCGCAGGCCAGAAAAATCTGAATTTAAGAAAATTATTACTTTTTAAAGTGTGATTTTTTTTCCTCCTCATTTTTAACAACTTCTTGTGCTTTGAAAGTTCATTTTTGTTTATTTTTCATAGGCAAAAGAAACTCCACCTCCTTTTTCAAAGAGGGTGGAGCTTCAATCAGCCATTTGGACTACGGACGGCTCAAATGGGTCATCGAAGTTCTGAAAAACTGTCCAGCTAGCGGTCGCTAAAACAGATTCATAGAAGGTTTGAAGGGACACTGATAAAGTTGATCAACTTGTATGTTGATGATACCACTTTATATTTAAAAAAAAAATGTTAATTTTTTTTTATTATTAACTTAACAGAAATTATTTACTTTGAAAACACGTTATATTTAGCCAAGTTTTATGAATTAATATCCAAAATTCTACTTTTTGGTAGGTCAGTGATGGTTTGATGTAAGATAAATGAATTAATTATAGCTAAATATTTGAATTGTACTTACCGTACTTTCCACCATACACGTCGCAATGCCGTACAAGTCGCATATGTCCAAAAATGTCTAATAAAGTGGGAAAAAAAACATAAATACTGTACGTCTCTTCGCCGTATAAATCGCATCTATTACGCGTCACCGCAGATGCGTCATATTTGTTACACATCACCGCTGACAACCTGGAAACGTGGGCCGGTGTTGTACGAAAAATCGATTGGCTGCCAAATGGCAGCTGCGGGAGCGTGCACAGGAGGACTTTAACAAGAATTTAACAAGAATAACACTTAAAAACAATTATTTGTTTGCTCGACATTATAATAAACGTGTGTCTCAGTTGAACTTTTCCTTAATAAATGCACTTTAATGGTCAAATCAGCTGCATTTCACCTGGGTGGTGCGGCAAAATGAAGCAGATTTGACATTTGCGCCAGGAGTTCCTGAGCGAGATGAGTGTGGCTTGGTATGGCAAGCCAAGTGTCTCATTAATTGCCACTTTTACCTATTAATGACACACTTGGCTTGCCAAACAGGTCGAGGGCCCCCTAGCGGCCGAAAGTGGTAGTGTTCAATATTTTTCATGTCAGAATGAATGAAATCGTCAGATCTCAGCCAAAAATTGGATTTTAAATATGGGGAAAAATGTATAGTAGTCACTTCAGTGTATAAGTTGCAGGACCTGCAAATTTATGTAAAAAGATGCGACTTATATGGCGAAAAATATTTTAATATTGTTCATTTTGAGAAGATTATTTTCAACTTTTTTGCTTTTAAACCTAAAAATTGTATTTCAAAAGCATCATCATTAAACCTAAAGAAGGTCTACATCTGCATAAACCTCTTAAGCCTGTGGGTCAAAATTATATTATTCTTTAATTGTACTTTGTTGTTGAGGGCCGCACCAAATCACTCCAAGGGCCACAAATGTCCCTTGGGTCACACTTTGGACGCCCCTGATTTAGGAGCTTTGAGGCGCACCACTAAATACAAAAATATTTGCAAAGAAGTGAAGAAACCCAAAAGAACACACTTCAGGATTTCTTTAGTAATGTTGGAGGGTGCTAATGCAGCTACAAAGAAAAAATGTATCTAATGTATAAACTAAGAAGTGTAAAGAGAATCAAGATCAAAAGTATAAATATTAAAGCTGGTGCCATTGGCTCATTAGGTTCCCATGGTAACCACACACCTGTGTGTGTTGCTCCTCAACTGCCGAATTAATGAGAGACAGACAAAAACAGCAGACTAAAAAGTAAACCTGAAACAGTTTATTTTTTCTGAACTAGAGTGACAGAAATGGTCACGCATGGATAAAAAAAAAATGTTTCTACATTTTTTATTTATGTAGGACAAAAGAAGACTCTTCACTCCCAGTTTAAAAAAAGAAGCTAAAATACACCTGAAGTGTGCGGTGTGCACTCTGAGGGGAACTGACACTAAACCACAAGTCCTGCAGCAATGTGACATGCCAGCTCAAAGAAGACAAAATGTCTATGTTCTGATGTACAATTTTTGCTTTTACTAAAAAATTGTGGCAATAAGAAGAAAACTTTTTTTTTAAATCTTAGGAAAATGAGGGTGTGACATTATCACACACTAAATTTAATAATCTGTGGTAAAATTCCACAAAATCATACAACAAATTATGATTGAGTAAAAATTGTAAAGATATAAAAATGTCAGTTTAGGGATGTAAAGTCCAACTATTTGTGACCAATGGAAAGTTTGAACAACTGTTCTGCAGTGAAGCCAGGGTTTCTCACTTCAGGAAAAAAGAAAAAGTGCAAAATTTTGTCTGAGTGATTCAACATACCAATAAAACATCACAGCACATTATATCTAATGGAGCAGCAGGTTTTCATGTATAAAAAACATTTATTTTCAAATCTGCAGGTCATGAAAATGATGAAAGAATTGTGAAAAGAATAGTAATGGTGGTGGTGGGGGGGTGTGGTGGTATAGTGCCTGTTGGCAGCCTTAATAATCCACGGCATGCTTGTGCTGTATGTACAATATGTGCTTAACTCCCTTTTTTCTTCACCTGCCTGTGTTTTATAACATCCTGTCTGGCCTCTTTGTCTGTCAGCCTTCTTGCTTAAACTGCAAACATGCTGCAAGGCCAGCAGATTCAAGCCCAAAAAGCTGCAAGCACACTCGCACATGCACACAGACACACAAACACACCACCACGTGTGAACTCTCTTACACATGCAGCGTACAGTAGATGAAAAATGGCCTCCTCTCCTGCCCTGTTGTTCCCCCTCCTGAGATCCTCCTGCTGATGCTTGCACTCTGAGTGCGTACGCGTCGGATTTGCTAGCGTGTGCGTGCATGCGCTCGTATGAATTTGTGTATGAAGTGTCTGAAGAATGATGCGTGTCATCACACAGGCGAGAGGTTGTCG